ACCCCCCACCCCCAAAAAGGAAAAGAAAAAGAGGACAAAGATGAAGAAGAAAAAAATTCTCTGCACAGACCAGGAAGGGGAGGGAACTGTGTTAGCCGGATCAAGGGATTTTACATCTTCTCTGTAAGAGAAGAAAAGGCTATCATTTGAATTAAATCCCAGCACTTCAGTCAAGGTTGAGAAACAGTGGACTAGAAAAGGAGGAGATCGCTGTCACTGTAAACAAACTGACTGCCCATGAGGGGAAGAGTGTGTCTACATATTAGAAATGACTAAGCCAAGAAAGGTTGTCCAAGAGGCAGCTGAATACGCCCGTCACAGCTCTACCTCCAGCAACAAAGCAAACCTTTCAAAAGCAACGACAAAGCAAAAAAAAAAAAAAAAAAAAAAAAAAAAAAGTCTTAGAAAATTTTCTAAGTTTCCAAAATGCTAAAGGGGGCTGGGGAAGTCTCAGGGTTTAAGAGTTCACGTTGGTCCTGCAGGGTTCAGGGCTTGAGTGGCTCGCAGCCACCTGTAACTCCAACCCAGGGGGTCTGATGCCGCTGTCAGCACCTCCGAGAGCAGCTACACACACCTGCACACACCTGCACACACCTGCACACACCTGCACACACACAGAGGCATGTGCATCTTATACACAGTAAGATGTTACAATAAATCTCAATTCTAATGATGAGGCGAGTAGGTAACACTGCTCACCCTGAGGACATTCGACAATGCAATAGGCACTTCCTACTCAGAAGCTACAGAGAAACCCTGTCCCCAAAAACAAACAAACAAGAGCGTGCTGATCTTATGTATAAAAGGCTTGTCTCTTTTGAAGTAACTTCAACTGCTTGAAACAAACCACCAGGCCATTTGAACTGGAGGTGTCCGTTCCCTTCCTCTGCCTGGCTGCCTCTAATGGAAAACCACCTGCCGAGAAAACATTTAACACACAACCACACTGCCTCGAAGACAGCCCCAGCGTGTTCCGATCGTCCCCTCACACTCTGAGGAACCCTTCGCGCCAGCTGTGAGGACCAGGCAGCTGAGCTTGGACCCCCACTCCAGACATGGCTGACCCACAGGCCCCGTGTTGGCCTGGGAAGACACACTCCAAGATTAACGCCTATAAACGGTGGCCCAGCTCGCCATCGGCCATTTTCACTCACAGGGACCTGAGGGAGCACCGTCAACTTGGGGTTGGGGGAGTCTGCAGAGAGTTAGTGACCGGTGCAACGAGACCTGTGGTTGGTGTTTAGGGAAGGCCACTGATTGATGGAGCTGAAAGCTGTGCAGTGATTGGTGCAAATTATAATGCTTTATTTACATGCTGCACCTATGCCGAGTCTTTTTTTTTTCCTAGCTTTTATAGCCAGGCTGTTGGACCCACCTCTTATTTGTTTTTACATGTATTACACTTTTTGTTTATTTCTGTGTGCATGCACATTCGGGCATATGTTTGAACCTGGGGAATATATGGTTGTCAGTTTTCTCCTTTTATGTGTTGCTGGGGTTAGTGACAAGTACCTTTACCTGCTGAGCCATCTCACCAGCCCTGTCAGAGTATTTCATTGCAGCAACAGGAAAAGAAACCAAGATAACCAACAATGACTTTGAATTTTTTTTTTTTTTTCAAGAATGGGTTTCTCAAGGTGGCTGTCCTGGAACTCTCTATGTAGACCAGGCTGGCCTGGAACTCACAGAGATCCACCTGCCTCTGCCTCAGCATCCAAAGTGCTGGGATTAAAAACATGCATTAGCATGCCCAGCTAACTCCTTCTTTTTAAAGGAATCAAACAGTGTATGACTGTGTGACAGGACACTTATCTGTCAAGAAAGAAAGGAAAACAAGGCCACAGGAAATGGCATTTGCACCACCAAACTGACACGATAAGGGAATCTGATAACAGCAGAGGCTAGGGACAGATGTCAGCCACCAAAGCAGCTGGGTGGTGGCAAGAAGACACCAACACTCGGAAGAGCATTGCCGCCACGCCCATCTAACTATTCTATTTATCGTCTGGCTGCAGTGGTTCGCTTCCAACTAACCAGTCATAAATGGTCTGAAGCGGCAAGTCCCACTTTGCCAGAGATATGTAACATTCCTAGTAGAAGCTGCTCTCAAGGACACAGACATTGTTTACCGTGTTGCTGAGACAGAACATGCAAGAGAACAGGCTGAGGGAGGGAGGGTTTGTTCAGGCTCATGGTTTCGGGGGTATTGGGGTCCGTTAAGGATGGAGATGGCATGGTACCAGGAGCACATGGTGGCGTCCACCGCAGCAGGAGCAGACGTGGAAGACTCCTTCGTGCTGAGTGGATCTGGAAGCAGAGAAGGCAGGCAGGGACCAGGGATATGTGGAACCATCCCAAGGGACTGCCAAAGGTCTCCTGTCACCCAGGCTCCCCTCCTAAAGGCTCTGAAGCTACCAGCCGGGAGCCAAGCATTCAAAGCAAGGGCTTGTAGTGGATGGACGCAGCCACAGCTAGAATGGGTCCGCAATCACAGCAAGAGATGAGTTTGAGGGGATGAAGGAGATGCTCCGCCAGTTAAGTGCATCTGTCCAAGCATGAGGGCCTGTACTCAATCCCCAGAACGCATGGGAAGAAGCCAAGTGTGGTAACCCACGCTTGCAATCCCAGCCTGGTAAGAGACCTACACTCTACAAACGTATACATGCACACTAAAAAAGAAATGTACCTCCATTCTGCTGGACTCCTTTGGATGGGGGTATCTTTTGTTATTTCTGCATAATCTGGCCCATCCTGACTAATCAAGGCACCTGCTCTAAGTAAGACCCAGCAATTCTACTTCCAGACTATCTTCCTAGCGACTCTCTTCCCCGGGCAGCAGTAGAAAAACAGAAAAACACAGAGAGCCACAGACTCCTAAATGACGTTGGCAGGTGGCCTCTGCGGAAGGGACACTGTTGGTGCTGTACACAGCAACAGGGGTTATAAATCCAATTCCGCTGACTCCAGCAGCTCACGGCTTCCTCCACACGGCACGATGTGGGAGAGATCAAAAATACTCAACTGGGTGCCTAACTACATGGTAAGGATCCTCGGAATCAGAGAAAAATGGGGGGGGGGGAGCTCAAATTTTTCAAGAACCCAATTTTTCTATATTTTGGGTGGCTTTTAAAACCTGAAAGGATAGTCAGACAATGTGGTGCACAGTTTGGATCTCAGCACTCTGGAGGCAGAGGCAGGTGGATTTCTGTGAGCTCAAGGTCAGCCTGGTCTTCTACAGAGTGAGTTCCAGGCCAGCCAGGGCTACACAGTGAGATCTTGTCTCACAAAAATAAATACCATTTAAAACCATTTTTAGCTCTTGAGCCATATAGGAGCCACACAAAGGCAAGCAGCAGCCATGAGGGTGGGGGGTTGAGGGTGGAGGCCTCGTTCCAGTGAGGTCACAGGGTCACAGCAAGCAGCAACCATGTCTTGACCATGGTGGGGGCGGGGTGGGGTGGGAGGTGGAGAGGCCTCACTCCAGCGAGGTCACAGGTGTCCCCTCCCTGATGGTGTCCCCTTTTCTCCTTGGCTTGTTTATTGATGCACCTGACCCAGAGGGGCAGGCAAAAACGTGGCAGACACAGGCAGATGTGTGAGCCCTGAAGACCCCCTTAGACTCTGACAGGCCTTTCCCCATGGGACAGGGCGTCCTAATCTTCAGACAGCGGATGGAGATGTGAGTGTGAGAAACCAGGGGGAATTCGGCTGCGGAAACATCTGCATCTTATGGCTTATCATCATGCACCCTATTTACATACACTACACACACTCACACACATACACACTCACATACACACACACATACACACTCACACACACACTCACACAGTCACACACATACACACACTCACATACACACTCACACACATACACACACTCACAGTCACACACACTCACATACACACACACTCACATACACACTCACACACATACACACACTCACATACACTCACACACACACTCACACACACACACTCACACACATACACACATACACACACATACTCACACACTCACATACACACTCACACACATACACACACTCACATACACACACACTCACACACACTCACACAGTCACACACACTCACATACACACTCACACACACATTCTGCCAGCCTGGTCCCACAGCTGTGTCAGCCCCAAAATAACACACAGAGACTCTATTAGTTATAAACCTGTTGGTCAATGGCTAGAGCTTCTTATTGGCTAGCTCTTAGCTGTTAACTCATTTCTATCAAGCTAAGTGCTTCCTGTGGTCTTACTGGGGAGAGCGAGCCTGGAGCTCTTATTCCTCTGACAGCCTACACAGACTCCTCTCTACTACCTTTCCCAGAATCCTCTTTGTCTCCTAGTCCCATCTATCTTGCTTTCCTATTGACCAACAGTGCTTTATTCATTAACCAATAAAAGAAACATGTTTACAGAATGATCTCTCCCATCAATATGGGTTCTTTGGGGGAATTGGTTTTTGTTGCTTGTTTTTTAAGACAGGGTTTGTCTGTATAATACTCATGGCTGTCCTGGAACTCACTCTGTAGACAAGACTGGCCTTGAACTCACAGCTCCACCTTCCCCTGCCTCCCTAGTGCTGGGATTAAAAGGTGTGTGGCACTGCTGCCAGCATTACTGTTAAGAAGAATCTGGAAATTGGGCTTTACCTCCTGCTCTCCCCTCCTCCTATTAAAAATGTCAAGGGCAAAGCTGGAGAGGTGGGGTGGAGCTGGAAGGATGGCCCAGGGGTTAAGAGCACTGACAGCCCTCGCAAAGGACCCAGGGTTAGTTCTCAGCGCCACCATGCCCCCAATTCCTGTGGAGTCAACACCCTCTTTTCTGGCCTCTGCTAGCATCAGGAATCTTCATAGTGGGCGTGCATGTGTGTATGGGCTTGCACACACATATATGCAGGCAAAACATAAAACACTCTTGCACATACATAAAATAAAATAATTTTAAAATAGTAAAGACAAATACATTAATTAGAAGAGGCTTGGGTGGGGTGCTTGCCCACACATTGTCTAGGATGGTGTTTGAGAATGGATAGTGTGGTCGGGCCTTGTCCATTTCCTGGGCTGGCACATCACAGCTCATGGCTTCCTCCTTCTTCCTCCTCTGGAAATCGGCAGCTGCAAGCATCTTCCTCTTGAGCCGTTCGAACTGCCATCTTAAATGCTAGGAAACAAGGGAGACCTCATGTGAGGGAGACAACCGAGTCACAGGAGCTAGCCTCGGGGGAAGCCGATGTTAGGTTAAGAATTCCAAGGCAGCCATCATCAAAAACGTCCAGCAAACAACTAGGGATACATCGGAAACAAATGAGGACTAAAGGCTGGGCAGCCACGCGCAACGGTGCATGCCGAGAGTCCCAGCTACTTGGGAGACCGAGGTGGGAGCGTTGCTCGAGGCCAGGAGTTCAAGGCCGAAGACTGCTCTGGGGAGCATATTGAGACCCAGATAGAGAAGCAAAAGGAACTCAGTAGCTATTTTAAAACTGGGAAGTGATGATAATGGACATTTTGAAAATTGATGAAGGGCTTCACAATAGAATGAGGGAGGTGGAAGATGGGGGCGATGATGCCATTGTCCAGTCCAGAGAGGCATAGATGGGAGCGATGGGTGGAGCTTTAAGGACAGGTGGGGTTCTGACAGGAGGTCTAAATTCAGAGCCTGGAGGGCGGAAGAAAGGACCCTGGATTGGATGCTTTGAAGAGATAATGACAGATTCGCCACCACTGCCACCTGTGGAAAGAGGCAAAGGCTACACGCTTAGATGCTGACTGAGCCTCAAGCCGGATGAGCCCAGGAGTCCTCACCACATCACAGGCTGAAGACTAAAGGCAGAAAAAGCCTGTGAAGCCAGAGGGGGGCCCTACTGGAATAACTGCAGATCTCTTTCCAGAAATCATGGAGGCCAACAGGAAGTGTCTCCCACAGTACAGAGGAGACATATTTGCTACTTACAGATGACATTGTGGTCTGTGGAGAACATCCCACGGAATCTGCAAAGCACTCTTAGAGGGAGTGAGTGTGTTCGTCAGAGACGCAGGACACAAACCAGTTTCCCAAGTCTCTAATGAACACATGATGTAAGATACCATATCGTGTTCAATTGTTTAAAGAGAAAAGAGGGAGGCCGGGGTGCCAGGCAGTGGTGGCTCACAGCTTTAGTCCCAGCAGATCTCAGAGTTCGAGGCCAGCCTGGTCTACAGAGTGAGTTCCAGAATGGCCAGGGCTAAACAGAGAAACCCCGTCTTGAAAAAAACAAAACAAAACATACACATACCAAAAAAAAAAAAAAAGAAGAAGAAGAAAAAAGAAAAAAAGAAGGAAGAAAGGAAGGAAGGAAGGAAGGAAGGAAGGGAAGGGAAGAAAAAGAACTAGGTTGGAGAGGAGGCTCAGTGGTTAAGAAAGCCTGCTGCTGCTGCTCTTCCAGAGGACCCAAGTTCAGTTCCCAGCACCCATGTCAAGGAGCTCAGAGCCGCCTGTAAGTCCAGCTCAGGGCTGAGGGGCGGGTGTCTGTCACCCGTCTGCCCTTGGACATACACAATGTACACTCGCGGCACTTAACATGGGCATATGTACATACATAAAGACATGATTTAAGAAAAATTTGGTTTTTGTTTTGTTTTTTGCTTTATTTTTTTCCCCTCCTTGAGACAGGTCTCTCTTTGTAGTCCTGGCTGTCCTGGAAATTGCTCTATGAACCAGGCTGGGCTCAAACTCACAGAGATCCGCCTCCCGAGTGCTGGGATTAGAGGCAAGCGCCACCACTGACTGACAAGGAAAGACTAAGGAGACAGTGGGCTCCGTGATTAAAGCACCAGCCGCCCACGCTTGAGGGCTGCAGTTTGGCTCCCTAGGATCCCACGAAATGTCCCGGTGAGTGTGGCAGCCTGGCTATAATTCCAGCCTCAGGAGGTAGAGAGACGGGACCAGATGCCCAGAGCAAGCTGGCCAGACCCTTTGGTCTGAGCTGGGGGAGAGGTGAAAACCAGTGACAGGCTGCTTTGCTTTTGTGACCCTCATCCTGAAGCTTGTCTCTGGGTAATAGTGTTTTCCATGTTACACAAGAGACTGCCTCAAGCAAATGAAAGGAGAGAATCTACTGCTGCAGGGCTGACTGAGTAAAGGGTGAGCAGGGCCCGGCCTTGGTTGTGGATAGTCGGGGCTCTTCTTGTTTGCTTGTGTTTTGTGGTCATGTAGCCTATGGCCTTGAACTTGAGAGCCGCCTCCTCCAGCCCCCCACGTGCTGGGGCTCCAGGCAGGCGCCTTGCATGTTCTGTATTTCATTTGTGCTGCTTGGTACACGAATGTACAGCTATGATAGAGGATCATACAGCTGTGTGTGTTCTGCCTCTTGGTCCTGGCCTCGGTGAGATGTAGATCTTGTGAATGGCACGCAATACTATTCTGCTCCTTGTTTGTGCCTTTCTACGAACAAGTAATTATATAAAAATGAAAAGGTTGTTGTTGTTATTATTATTATTATTGCTCCAAGTTACTCGTTACTGATAATACCTGGAACATTGCTGCCATTCTGGGAGGAAGTCTAAAGGTCTCCTCCAGAGATGGAGACCTGAGATGGGGGGGGGAGGCCACAGAAAACGAGAGTCCCCTCCATTGATAAGGAGAGGCAGAGGCCCTGTGAGAAGACTTCTCAGAGTAAGAAATCCAAACAGCCAATCAAAGAGAAAGGCATCTAACCTCAGACATCATCAAGGAAATGCAAATCAAAACCACAGTGAGATACTATTCCCCACCCACCGACAGATAAAAATAGTGTGCCACAACACCCCGCATTCACACGGAAGCGGGAAGACGAGTAATCGCACCCCGCTGAAGAGACGTCCCATGCGGCCCCCATGGCCTCTGGAAAACAGTTTGACCTATCTACTTGGGCGGGGCTTAAGTTACTCATCCCCACATCTTTTCCCACGTTAAAAAAAAACATCAAGCAAAGCTCGGGAAATGGTTCTGTAACCAGTGCTCCTTGCCCTGAGCCTGAGTGTTCACCCTGAGAGCATGAAGAGCAGAGTTCAGGTCCCCGGTACCTCGTAAAGGCCGGGCGGGTGCCTGAGGCAAGCTAACGGGAGCGTCTATGATCAGCTTTGGGGTCATTTGAGAGGACCAAGGGAGGGTGCTCTAGGAAGGTGCCTGACACCAACCTTGGTGTATGTACACATGTGCACGCCTACACACAGGCAAACATGCACACGTATGCATACACAAGTACAGAACAGAACCATGTACTTATATTCGATAAAGAATGTAGAAGGCTGGCATAGGACCACGGGCACTGGAACTCAACCTGAGGGTGAGTCCCCTCCCTCCCTCCCTTCCTCCCTCCTCTTTCTCATTTAAGACAGGGTCTTGCTACATAGTTCTGGCTGGCCTTGAACTCACAGAGATTCACTTGCCTCTGCCTCCTGAGTGCTGGGATTAAAGGTGTGTGCCACCCCCCACCCCCCACCCCCACCTCCTCATAGAACCTTATTTAGCTTACTAAAGGATGAAGTCTGCCGTTGAAGGTTTCTTTCTGTCTAATAGTCTGCCTTACAGCCACTCCAGCACCACCCAGGGCTCCCCTTCTCAAGGACAGACCAGAGCTAAAGCCAAGTATATTCACCAACTGGAGAAGCAACTCGTGAGGCTCTCTATGCGGTGTGTTTGTGTTTGCATGTGTGCAAGTGCACACGTGTGTGGAGAAGTCAGAGGGCCGCCTTTGTTGCTTGCTTCCCTTTTTTGTGAGACAGGGTCTCTCACTGGCCTAGAGAGGTTGGCTGGTTATCAAGCCCCTGGCATCTGCCTGTCACCGCCTGTCACCGCCTGTCACCGCCTGTCACCGCCTGTCACGGAACTGGGATTACAAGCACACTCCACTGCTTTTGTACATGGATCTGGGCATTAACATATCTTTGTGCTTGCAAAACAAATGCTTTGCAAACTGAGCTGTCTCCCCAGCTTCTGAGGCAATGTTCGTTTCTGGTTCCTCTGTGCGTGGACACAGGCTGCCGTGGTGCCCATGCTTGTAGGTGCGCCAGTTACCTGAGACTGTGGTGTATGTGTCTGTTGTTTTCCCCACACTCTGGGTCCTGCTCTGTCTCCATCTCTTCCCTAGTGACACGCAGAGCCCAATTTTCTTGTGCCTGGGGGTCCTCCCTGTGCATTGTGGGAGTGGAGAGCCTCCCCACCCCCTACTCCCAGTCACAGCTACCCCAACGGCCTTCAGACAGTACCCTTGTGGGAACAAGCTCGTCCTGGCAAGCCTGAGCACCCACTCCGCAAAGCTGTCCTGCCTCCCCCGCACCCCATGCTGTGTTGGCCTTACGTTGCTTGAGCATGTAGGGGAATCTCTTCCTGCCCCATCTGACCACAAGTTGCCCAAAGATCACGAAGAGCAGGAACAGCAGCACAGCCGATGTCAGCGCCAGGAACAAGGTAGGGACCTGCAAGGGGTGCCCTCCTTCTAGAGCGAGGACAAAAACGCCGCGTGTTTAGTGAGGACAAGCCTGACCTGAACCCCCCCAAATACGTGGGCCCCAGAGAGGCAGCACCCGGGGCACCCCTAACCTACAACTTAAGGAGCTTAGATGACATTACTGTCTTGTGTTTGCTTGTTCTGTCTTCGAGGCAGGGTCTCATGAATCCCAGGCTAGCCTCAAACTCCGGATGTACCAGAGGATGACCTGATCCTCCTGCCTCCACCACCAGAGTCGGGACTGCAGGGATACACCTCCATGCCCACATTCACACAGTTCTGGGTATGGAATCCAGGACCTTTCCAACATGCGAGGCAAGGGCTCTACCACCTGGGTCACATCCCAAGTCCTAAACCTAAGTGACTTTTAAAAAAGAACCCAGATTTAATGATTTCCCCAGAAGCTAGGTAGTCTAAGCTACTGAGCTTGGAGAAAGCATAAGGCCCTTGAGTCCCCGGGCCTTGGCCTTTGTAAGGGTGTGGTGTCTGTTTGGGATGAGTGTCACCATTACTGATGGAGGGACAGCACCCAGGAAGACAAGGCAGAGCTGTCTGCTGTGGGCAGAGCTGGGAGATTAGCAGTGCTGAGGGAGGCCCACACAGTCTGAATGGATACCAGGCATTTGTTTGGATGAGGTTTTTCAAGGAGCCTTACTATGTAACCCAGGGTAGCCTGGAACTTGCCGACCTCCTGTCTCAGCCTCTGTAGTGGTGTAATTCCCGTTGTGTGTCTCCATATCTTACTTAATAGCAATAAAAACAGTGATTTAGTAGCAATAAAACAACCACCTGGTTTTCTCACCGGGGCAGGCTCGGTGGTGGTGAGGGTACCTGGGGAGAGGCTGACTGCAGTGGGGCCACAGACCGCATCCTTCTCCAAGGTCCCCTTCTTAAGCTCAACTTTTCCGTCCAGAGAGCAGCTTAGACAGGTCAAGAGAAAGAGTTCAGATGATTAATTTAGGACCAGAGGAGCACGATGAAGCACCCGACACTTGCCACCCCAAAGGTAACCGAGCGATGCAGTAGGTGGGCTCCGGCTCACAAGCAATGGGCGGATCGTATGAGAAAGTTCCGCATGAGCCTCTGGCGTCTGCCAGTTTCCCTCAGCCCATGCCCACTGTCGTGCTAGGCACCGGCACCAGCACACCTTACTGGACCAGTGCCAACCTTGCGTGTCCATGAGCACACTTGGAATTTTGTAGGCTGTGTCCTTCCAGCGGCCAGCACACCATATATGTATGACATGCTGGAGAAACAGAAGGCTTCACTCTCCTATGCCATGCTCGGTGATGGCCCTGAGCACGTGATATGGGCCAGTCAGTCAGGGAAGGTGACAACCAAGAGATCAGAAGGAAACAGGACTGAAGACCCATCAACTTAGAGGGTGGCAAGCTCCACCCGAGATCGGCTTGCTACACACTGGCATGCTTGCTAAGGACACCCACGTTTGTACAAGATTCTGTGACCTCACGGAGTTCCCGTCACCTAAGGGTGTGTCACTGCAGATCTACACTCCAGTGACAGCATCCTCCGTTTTCCAGTTCATCTTAGGCTCTTCATGCTATGAGAAAAACCAGGATATGTACGTACTTTGTCCAGGGTCGACAGGTGCCACTGCCATTCTGATCATTAAATGTCCCAAAGCCGCAGTTTTTACAACCTTGAAGACAAATGAGCAATCAATAGGAGGCTTTTTTTTTTTTTTTTAACCATTTTAAAACTTTCCTTGCGATGAACAAATGGCTTGGTGTCATTAGGTTAACCTGTGCAAGTTGCTTTGTATTTTAAAAACTTGATTTTTTTTATTCACCTGTATGTATGCATGTATCTGTATGTGCATATGTGCACGTGTGTGCAGGTGCCTGCAGAGGCCAGTAGCGGGCATTGGGTCCCCCGGAGCTGGAGTTACTACGGGCCATTGTGAGCTGCCTGATGTGGGTGCTGGGAACTGAACTTGAGTCCTCTGTGAGAGCGGTAGTCACACCGAGCCATCTCTGCAGCCCCTGAGATTGCTCATTTTCAATGAGAGGAATATTGTGTATACCAAAAATGTGTAAAAAACGCATGGCTCTGTTGATTAACAAAATGTCCTGGCTTCTAATTATGCTTATCTATGGGGACACAAAAGAATATATAGTGGAATGTGATTAAAACATGGTGTTAGCACCACATTCTGCATCTCTGTTAAGGGTCTCAAACCCTAAGGAACCTGTCTCCACCACAAACTGGGGCTGTGCAGAAAGAGCAAACCTACCCCGCTCCGTTAACTCTTGACCTGGCTTGCAGTCCTTTTCACACCAGGCACACTTTGGTCCCAGGCAGTGGCGTCCCTGGATGCATTCACACTCCGCGTCACTGGTCGGGGAGCAAGGCTTCTTGAACCTGAAATAACCTACGAAGTCCCAGCTCTGTGTTACCCTTGACCTCCAAATCAAGAAACCAGTGTGCATTCTGTAGTTGAATATGTGTGTGTGTGTGTGTGTACATATGTGTATAAATATGTATCCATTGCTCAGTGACATTATAGAATGTTGTGTTCACCTATTTACTGTCTTCCTGTGAACAACAAAAGCCTCTCATATCGAATCAGTATTTTCTCTATTATTTAAAAAATGCAGCCAAGATGACAGGTTACTGGTGGCCATGTCAGAGGAATGGCGGGTGGCAACTGACTTCAGCAGATCTGCCCACTGGCACACAAGGCACTGATGGGTGGGTCTCAGATACGCGAGGCCCAGAGAGCCGGGGCCCCAGAATGTCTCTGGCTACTGCTGGGTCTCCCACTGCCATCTTTCTCTGCTATCATCTGGCATGGTATGAATGGGTGTGGGGAGATCCCCCACTGTCTTTAATGTGCTTTAGTTAAGCAATGGTTTAATATAATAACGGTGTTATTTTAAATAGGATGTTGATGATTGAGGGTCTTTAATAAATACAGTAGGAGGTTATGGTAGAGGTTAGCTTACTGGGAATATTAGGTGAAGCAGGATATGGCTCTGTCCCCACCCTGATAAAGCAGGGGCTGCAGAGGACAGAGAATTAGAACAGGGAAGCGTCGCACAGCTAGTTTCCCATGGGGGGCCATATAGAATGTGGCTTAGGTTAGTGATTAAGAAAAAGAATTGAGTTCAGAAGCTGCGCCAACTCAAGTTCTTTTCATCTTAATGTTGAGAAAGGTGTTCAGGTGTATATCATAGCTGAAACAAAGCTTTAAAGAATGACTTCAGGAGCCAGGCGGTGGTGGCACATGCCTTTAATCCCAGCACTCAGGAGGCAGAGGCAAGCGGGTCTCTGTGAGTTCGAGGCCAGCCTGGTCTACAGAGCTAGTTCCAGGACAGGCTCCAACACAATACAGAGAAACCCTGCCTGGAAAAAAACAAAAACAAACAAAACAAAAATCAAACAAACAAACAAAAAACCCTTAAGGTTAGGGTAAGATGATTTCATTAATGGCTTTGAGGTTAAAGAAAAAAAAAACCCTTAGAAAACAACTTTAAAAGGCACACTTTTAATAGTTGAATGGAATGAGAGACTTGTTGAGGTCAGGGAACGAGAACACTGACAGCCAGGCTATGGACGACTGGCACAGCTTTGTTGCTAGGATGGGTTGGTGATCAAGGGTGATGATTTCTCTCTTGTACCCATTTCGTCCCTCAGCTTCCTGACATAAAAACTGTTGATGAATGGGCATGTACCCTGAGGGTTTAAAACGGAGCTGACTGATTCTTTTTCACATAAAAATTTAGATTCGTGGTTCTTCTAAGATTTCTCAAGAGAGTACCTTTGGAGATGAAAAACAAAATGATTGCTCCTTTCTTTGTAACTGCAAAATGCAGCTTGCTAGCCAAAGGATTGACTTGAGAAAAATGGCTTGCTTGCTTACACTCTTGTTAATCTATAACAAGTTGGTAACGGTGCACCCTTTTAATCCCAGCACTCAGAAGGCAGAGGCAGGCGGATCTCTGTGAGTTCGAGGCCAGCCTGGTCTACGGAGAAAGTTCCAGGACAGGCTCCAAAGCTACACAGAGAAACCCTGTCTCAAGAAACCAAAACCAACAACAACAAAAAATTATTCATGCAAGGGATATGGAAAACATGCTGTTTTTTATTTGTATTCAGTGTAATCATTCACTCAAAATAGTAAGTAACCTCATTATAATTTTTGTACTGCTTGAAAGATTTTTCTGGGTAGGATACATAAACTGTAAGGGAGAAAGAACTTAGTTAAAAGGAAGACACCAAAAGAGACAGAAAGGATAGATCTGGATAGGGGTAAGAAAAGAAATAAAGAACACAGAGAGAGAGAAGGTGATGGAGAAACCCTAGAGAGGCAGGTGTGTGTGTGTGTGTGTGTGTGTGTGTGTGTGTGTGTGTGTGTGTGTGTGTGTTTCCTTTTTCAATGGCCCCAAGGAGTTAGGTTTAGCTCCCCCCCCCCTTACTGACCCCAGGGAGTTAAGTTTAGCACCCACTCGCCAGCCCCAGGAAGTTAAGTTTCACTCCCTCAGATAGAAAAGTGAAGTTGAGTGATTAGTCTGCCAACCCCATGGGATCACCCTCGATTCCTGAGCTGCTGGAGCCTGATGCTCATGGCAGTGGTAATAGCTATTCCATGAAATAATTTGACCACACCTGCTATGGACAGAGGGGTCAGTGAGGTTCAAGATTTTAAATAGAGACCCGTTAGTAAAGACGGACAAAAGCTGGTCTCTCCCAAGCAATCCAAGACAGAGATGCCTCAGTTAAAGCAGACCTTCAGACTGGGGAGCCTGAAGATAGTATATTCCAGTTCAGCCTGGGCAATGGCAAGATCCTGTTTCAAACAGACAGACAGACAGACAGACCCACCTTCACACACTCTGCAGATGTTGCAGTATGGCTGTCCACCTGTGCTGGAGTAGGTACTTGGAGGACAGCTGGTACAAACCGGATTGTTTTTCTTGCAGAAGGTACCTGAAAGGCGTCATGGGTGTCCATGTCTGATAACACATGACATCGCTCAAGTCATGGGCATCCTTGTCTGACAATACATGACATCATGGCAACACTCCACCATCACTCAGAGCATCGTGATCTTTACAAAGAAATCAGCACAAATGCTCCATCATGCTCAACAGGCATGTTTATTGATTGGCATTTAAGAGTATACATTTGCAGGGTGACCTTTGGCATAATCAACCAGGACTGACAGCATATAAACGCTGTAACAAAGAAATTGAGAGAAAACAAAAACAAAAACAAACCCCTGAATCTGTTGCTGTCCTCGGGAGGAGCTCAGAGCAACAGGCCGGACCCAGGAGAAGAACGCTGCCACCTGCTTGCTCCTTGCTGGAGAAGGCGCCTTGTGTACAAAGCTACAATTGCCGGGTGCTGAGACTGTCCTGGGACCTTCCTAGCCCCGTGCCCCCCCCCCAGACAGCGTCTCTGATTGGGCTCCAATGGCAGAGTTGAGGTGCTGAAGTTATGTGAGCCAGCCGACTCCCCGCCGCCACTTTGTTGTATCCCACAAACCTCTGCAACCAGGCTAATTGAACTGAGTTTTCAACAGTCAGAAAATGCACCGTGGGTTAGGTACTCACCGGCTTCACACCTGTCACAGGGATCCTGCAGGGCTCTTGCCTTTTCAGCGCCCATCACCAACAGCACAGTTACCACCATGTTGTAACAGCTATTCCCCATGACAAAGCCTTGCATACATACAACACTAGCAAAGAAGATTCCAAAAGAATTTCAATCAAATGAGCTGCCCTCTGGTTGTTGGTGTAGCTCGGTTGGTAGAGTGTTACTTAACATGCACCAGTACTTCAGAAACCGTAGTGGTGGTCCATGCCTGTAACCCCAGCATTCAAGAGATGGGGGCAGGAAGGGCCAAGAGTTCAAGGTCATCCTCAACTGCAAAGTAAGTTCAAGGCCAGCCTGGACTACATAAGACCTGATCTTTAAGAGATGTCATTCTGCAAAATATAAGCAGTGTGAAGGATTTCCCTCCCAGAACTATCTACATTGCCACCAATGCTTAAGCAGTACTTCAGGGCTTTAAGGAGAATTAAGACTGGAATATTGAAGCTGGAGAGGTCATTCAACGGTTGAGAACACACACTACTCTTGTAGAGGACCCAGGTTTGGTTCCCAACACCCATGTTGGGTGGCTCACCACTGTCTATAACTCCAGCTCCAGGGGATCCTATGCCTCTGGCCATCTGCATTCAAGGATACATACCCATATGCAAACACACACACACACAATTTAAAATTTAAAAGTCTATATTTAAAAAAAAAAAAGCCTGGGATATTATGGAAACACAAGCAATCCTCAGAGTCAGGTCTACAACAGCCACCACCTTTGTGCATGTCTGCCAAAGCCCAGGGTGAAATGAGAACAGGGACATTAGGGACTTTCAGATTCTTGGCATGGGCATCCATACTGCAACCATGCTGCCCTGGAAGCAAAGTTCAGGTAATGAATGCCATCTAAAGGGTTCACTTGGAGAGAGGGGAAGCATGGTTATTGCTCTGCCAATTTTGAAAGACCTCTGCTACAATTCACTAGCAGAGAGTTTCTTAAGCACAGACCCTGAACTTGCCCATTTTGAGATCTGAAGCTTGTAAAGAAAACCAAATAAAGATGGCAATTATAAAAAAAAATCCTGGGGCTGGGGATGATGCTCGGTTGGTGGCATGCTTGTTTGGCATGCCTGGAGCCCTGGGTTCCATCCCCGGCACTCAGTCAGGCACAGTGGCCCACATCTGTGATCCCTGCATCCAGGAGATGGAAGAGGACAGTCAGAACTTCAGGATCATCCTTGGCTATAGAGAGTTAGAAACTAGACATGGCTACATGAGAGCCTATCAGAGAGAGAGAGAGAGAGAGAGAGAGAGAGAGAGAGAGAGAGAGAGAGAGAGGAAAGATTTGGAAGTGACAGCTTCATTTTCCTGGGTCTTTATGTAGTACACTATGAGACAAAAGTTATAAATTACAAGGGAAGAAAAGTCAGTCTAGAACTCAGAAGTGAAGCAGCCCATCCTTACCTCTCCAGTCCCCCACCAGCCCCGAGCAGACAAACCTGTGATCTCAGGGCAGCAAAACACCTTCCACTCCTCCAGAAGCTCAGCGAGGTTCTGCCGCTGTGCCAGAGGACCACAGGTCAAACATAACACTTGGGTGACTCAACTGAGCGGGGCCTCCTGGGAAATCCCCACGCAGCTCTGTGGGGTGGTTCATCTCGCTGCTACTCAAAATCCCCAGAGCCCCAGTAGCCACTTGATAATGTCACTTCAAAGGGTTTCTTGGAACCAGCTGTCTGCCGTTAGGACATTTCCTAAACAATTTTAGGAAAAAGATTTGGTCATTTAACATAGTCCTTTGTCCATGCCAAAGCCTTTAATGTGTCCTTAAAATTTTGGAGACTTAAAGGGTGAGGACAAACTAAACAGTGCTTCTGCCACAAGCCGTCTCCCAAACCATAAAAGCAGAAAGGCATGCCTCTTAAACCCGGAGTGGAGCTGGGCTGTGGGGAGCACTGCTCAGCCCTCTGAGGGACCCTGGATCGGTGTCACCCACCGCTGCTATTGTTAGGATGCCCGCAGGCGAATGAGAAGGCTCTGGCTGTGATCAGCAGGAGGCGCTGTGCCTGAGACAGGGCAGGGTGGAGGGAAGGGGAGAGGTCATTCACAGGCACTGGATGATCTTACTGGGCAAAGTGAGGACCCGTGATGAGTTTTAGACCAATATTAAACTGAGTGACAAGAGAAGGGGTAAAAGAAGGGGAGGGCGAGGAAGAGCAAGCAGGAGGAGGGGAACAGGGAGGGGCAGGAGGGAAGGGAGGAGGAAAAGGAATGGAGGAAGTGGTTGCTATGGAAACTGAGATGACTAAAGCCACTCAGGAGAACCTGGCCTGGGCAGGAGGAGGTTCACATCGAGAGGGGCTGTGTTGTGCCCCCAAAGACCACCAAGAGGGAAGATATGATGCAGAAGGAAAGTCTTTGTAATTACAAGTTCAGGGTCTCTCATCCCTCTGATGCAGGAGACACCCGAGCTGCCCTGGGGTGGGACATTTATTGGGGGTAGAGCAAGGGGAGGGAGTGTCTGGGGGATCTGCAAGGGGCATAGTAACTTTTTAACTAGCTTTAATTTTAGCAGATCTTTAGCTGTACCTAACAACATAAGCGTGTCAATTTTAAAGTAGAGAATGTTCACATAACCAAGTTTTTTTTTAATTTTTCTTTTATTTATTTATGTATTTTTGGCTGTTCTGTGTCACTGTGTTGGGGGCTCAGACTGATGTCGTGACATAGAGGAAATTTCTAAATAAGCATGCCTGGGCCCAGTGAAGGGAGACATAATCCAACGCCACAGCCAGCTTTCCAATAAAGAACAGCATAAAGCAGCTTTCCAAACCATTTCTGCCCCAGCTCCATGCTGGCAACAACACCTATGAACACACCAGAAAACAGACGAAACCAACACAGTAAGCTTACACAACCTTCCCAGGCAACAGACAGAACTTTTCAGCAAGACAAAACTTTTTAACCAGAATCAACCTAATACGGTCAAACTTTCAACTTATTTTATGGTTTCTTTTTAAATTCAGTATTTGCCTGTATGAGAAACCACAGCAAGCATAGTTCACATCCCCTCTGGCCTTCTATGACTTTTTATACACCTTCCACATTTGCATCAACACATAAAAGCCTGTGCCAGTATAAAGCATCTGAGACTAACAGTATTTTCTTAGCCTAATCAACAATAATTTGTAACCAGCCCCTGTAAATGATGACAGAGATTTACAGCCCCTTGTATCTGAATGACCTGAGCAGCTCTGGTAGATGGAAATCTGCTGTAGCATCACAGCACCGCCATAGCTTAGCCCTGAGCCCTGTTTGGTGTAGACAGAAGTTTCGTTTCATCCAGTGCCTCAGCTGTTTAGTCCCTCAAATAAACACCCAGGGGCTTATACTAAACTGTTAGGCTGATGGCTCAGACTTCCTATTGGCTAGCTCTCTTTTAATCATTAACCCATACCTATTAACCTGTGTTTGTTCACATGGCCTTGGCTTACGTGATGCCCGAGATTCTGGCTTTCTCGGCAGCTACATGGCGTCTCCCTCTCAACTCACTGTCTGCCTTCCTCTTCCCAGCATTCTCCTAGTCAGGTAACCCCGCCTACCCTTCCTGCCTGGGTACATTCTGCTTGTCCGTTGGCCGAAACGGCTTTATTCATCAACCAATAAGAGAAACGTATGTTCAGAGCCTACAGGAGGATGAGTCGCCCACCAGTTTGGCCAGAAGTTGGGGGGAGGCAGTCCTCAGAGATAGGTTTCAAGAATCCAGTCCATCAGCATGGGAGGGTGTGGCACACAACATTACACAAGATTGTTAACTTTTCTGGCCGTAACAATTAACCCCAGATTCTCTGTTCAGACACTCAACATGGTGGGGTGACTAGGAGCTTGGCCCATGATATTAGGACATTCAAGCCACCAAAACAGGGGACAAACACAACAAGATACACACACACCATAACAAGCAAGGCAGATGGCTGTGCACAGATCCAAAAATGAGACACTGGACTAATGGCAACCCACTCATTCTCCCCATAGGAACTAGGAGGATCCAATCCCCCCAAGGGTCTCCTGACCCACCCGCTGGGCAACCGGAACATCTCCCAGTCACCCCAGCCTGTGATCCACCAATGTGTTCATCTCTGTCTTACGCAGGCATCACAGAAGGCGCTGCAGCAGCCAGAAACAGAAACCAGAACTTTCCCTGGGAAAACAGAAAGTTACCTGATGGTTGACACCCTGACACTCAACAGAGGTTAGTAGTGGTGGAGTTGGGCTATCCCGGACAAGCCACCAAATGTTGTACCCAGAGTCTGTACACCCAAAGATCACCAAGAGACCAGATCCAATGCAAAAGCAAAGAGTCTTTTTAATTACGAGTTCAAACTCAGGTCTGTCATCCGTCTGCACAGCAGAGGGGCAGGAGAGACCCTGAGCCGCAGTGGGCGGAGCATTTATTGGGGGTAGAGCAAGAAGGATGTGGGGGGGGGTGTCTGCAAGTTACACAGTAACAGTTTCAGGATTGGTGCACCTCCAGGTCGGGAGGTGTGGAGGGGTGGGAGCGAGGGAGGGGACCTGTCCAGAGCTGATTGGTCAGCTGCAGCTGCAGAAAGGTTTCTATACCTGGCCGCCATCTGAAGGCTGCTGCTACGGTTATTGCATTCCATCCTTATTAGCGAAGCACACACAGAGCCTGTCAACCAACTTCTGATTGGTTCCTTACCATATAGAGGCTGTCTGACAGTTTCTTCCCAGCAATAAGAGCAAGAAGGGCCCAGCACATCCTGCTGAGTCGGGGGCCGGCATCCTGAGAGCCTGGGCCCTTCAGCGGGACACGGAGGCACACGCTATAATCCCAGCACTTGTGAGACCGAAGCATTGAGTTGCAAGCCAGCCTGGGTTATGCAGCAAGACCTTGTCTTTAAAAAGGGCGGTTTTATCTAAAACGGGTGGACTTTCCACTAGAGTTCAAATGACGAGAAACGGAAGCTTCCTGTGGGATTGGGAGATGAGGGGACAGAAGGAAGCTGACATTTGGTAATACATACTGAGCACATTAGGTCTGTATGAGACCAATCATGTCACTGCCCTGCTTGGAAACTTCCAGTGGGCGGGCTGGAGAGTTGGCTCTG